ATTTGCCCCCGGGGTCAGACAGTACAGCTGAGTCTCAAAAAGGCAGAAGTCTTTTTTTAGCATTTTTTTTTTTTTAGTTGTAGTTGGATACAATATCTTTTCATTTTATTTTTATGTGGTGCCGAGGACTTCTGCGCCAAAGCAGACATCTTATTTCAAATTGAAGATACCAGAGTTCTCTTCTCTCTCCCTGTCCCATTCTGCAATTCTTGGTGAATCTTATGCCCTAACTCGGGCAAGCAGGCATCTGGGTTTCCTGGAGACTGATCCTCATTCAAGGGAGCTCTGCCTCTTTGTGGAACCACTGCAGATCTGAGATCTGGTCCTTAGGATATAGATCTTTATGCTCACCAATAGATAAATAGATTGGAGAGGATGAGTCACCCTGACTAAGCCACCACATAGCTAAGTGATAAAGTCAAATACTAATTTCTTAATTTATAATGGGAAATTAAACTGCTCAGATAACTAGTACATTAGAAGTCTTTATGAATATGTTGGAAGAATAGTCTGGATTCGGATCAAGTTTTACGGAGCCCAACACAAGATACTCAGAAATGCTCTCTACCCTGGACAGATGCAACTCTGACATATTCTCCATGCTCAACTGTTCTTTTTCTAAATGGCAGACTCCTCTCTCTTTAGTTACAACAACATTGCATTGGATGGATCACAATGAATTTTCCTAGATCATAGTAAATTACCATTTTCGTTCCCTGGATGAAATTTAGAAAACATCACAAAGGCATACCTAGCACATTTTCTAATCATCACCAAAGAAAAGCTTAAAAAACTCTTTATAATTGGGCATGGTGGTGTAGGCCTGTAATCCTAGCAACTCAGGAGGCTGAGGCAGGAGGATAGCAAGTTTGAGGCCAGCCTCAGCAAATTAGTGAGGCCCTAAGGACTTAGTGAGACACAGTCTCAAAATAAAAAATAAAAAGATGGAGGATTTAAGCACCACTGAGCTTAATCTCCAGTACCAAAACAAAATAAAACCTCTTTCGAATGATGACTTCTATACATACATAAAGCTAGAAGGAAATCCCCCTGCGCTCATAACCCAGCTTCTACAGTTATCAACATCCTGCTGGGGTTTTTCCATCTATCATTACTTCCCCCTAACCCCCAACCCCCCAGTTTTCCCCCAGAGAATTTTAAGTGGAGTTTCTGATATTATCTCTAAATCTAAATTCAGGTGTCATTCCCTGTTTGGAATGTACTCTATGAATTGAGTACAAATGTTATTATTATTATTATTATTATTATTATTATTATTATTATTATTATTATTATTATTTGTACTTGGGAATTGAACCCAGGGGCACTTTACCACTGAGCTATACCCCTAGCCCTTTTAATTTTAATTTTTTTTTTTTTTTGAGACAAGGCCTGGCTAAGGTGCTGAGGCTGGCTTTGAACTTGCAATCCTCTTGTCTCAGCCCCCTAAATGCCTGGGATTACAGGCATGCACCACCACACCCAGCTACAGATGGCATTCAAAGCCCATACACCAAGCAATTTGGGGTAGGGTTGAAATGAGATACTGCATGTGAATGGCCTGTAAAATCGAGTTCTGTATTATAATAATTAGATTTTCAAAACCAAATTCCTGATGCCTATTCCAGACCTATTGACTCAAATGTTATTGGGTGGGACAGGCATCCTTGTATTTCAAAGTGACTCCAGCATATTTGATGGTGATTTGTCCAGAAGCCAATATTGAAATGTCACTGCTGGGAAGTGGTAGAGTTAGAGGCATTCTCTCCTAGGTCTCAGGGTCTGCTTGGCATTCTGGAAGTACAAGGGCTGGGTTCTGATCCATCATTACTATGGGGCTGAAAATGGACCAGACCCTAAGGCCCCACCAGCCCCCTGAGGAGGAAGAATGGTTGCACCTTGTTTGAGAGGATCTGCTTTGGGTGCTGGGGTTGGGGTAGAGATAGATCTGAATAAATGGCAAGGTTTAGAATTGAAGAGTGGGAGGGAAAGAAAGGATGGACCAGGAGGCTGCCTTGGAGTCTCTGTGCTGAGGTGGGGGGGCATCAGGTTTCAAGGAGCACCCGAGTGGAGGTGCCTGTTCTGCTTGAAGATGACACATGGAGGAGTCACCCAGAACCGCTGGAATGCACAGCTGGCATCATGCAGGAACGCTCCTTGCCCCAAGCTGTGCAGCCCTAGATCATGGGTGGTGATGCCACCACGGAGAAAAGGTGAACCTATGAGGCAGCAGAAGGGATAGTAGGTGGAGACCCGACCCAGCCTCTCTGTGTATGAGGGGCTATGATTCCTTTTTCTCTTTCCATCTATAGCCCCTCAACCCCTTGACAGTGTTGAACTTGTCTGAATTCTGTGCTCTGAAAAGTAGCTGCAGTGAAGCAGTTCCGCCATCCTTCTGTGCTCCCTCCTAAGTTTACATTCCAAGAAATGGCTACTCTTAAAGGACTAACCTGTTCTAGAATATTCCAGGATGAGGCCCACTTCTACTCTTCCTCAGGAATTCAGACAAGACCTTCTCCCTCCATCCTTCCTCCTGATGACACCCTCGGCTACCTGCCTCTCTAAAGCCCCTGACCCCATTCCTTCCTCATTGATGATGTTCTATTCTCCCTTTTGCAACAGGTGGGAAATCATCTGGTTTATTGTCCGGATGTCACCTTCCACTCCCTTCGTTTTTTTTTGTTATTTTTATCTTTTTCACTCTCTTCTCCTTTATTCCTCTTTTCTTTAAAGAATTTTACGCAGTGAGGAATGTAGCTCAGTACTAGAACTTGCCAGCATGCACCAGGCTCTGAACTCCATCCCCCAAACACATACATACAAAAAAAGAAAAAAGAGAGAGAAAAAAAAAGAATTTTACACTGAGAAATTTACAGATGATAATCTATCAGAAATCCAGCTGACAAGTTGTGTGACACTGAATGCTGTATGAATTACTTTAAAATGAAAATTTTTAATTTTATGTGTATTTTACCACAATTAAAAAAAAATTCTTGCCTGTAGTCCCAGGAACTCAGGAGGCTAGGAAAGGAGAATCACCAGTTGGAGGCCACCCTGGGCAAATTATGAGACCCTGCTCCTTCAAAAGAAGAAATCCAACTGGTGATATAATTCGGTGGTAAAGTGCTTTCCTAGTATGGACATCGAACTCTGGGTTCGATCCCTGTCACTCAAGAAAAAGAAAAATCCAGCTGATAAAGAAACACAATGAAATTAATTTTTCAAACAATTACTTTGTACTGATGGTGGGTTAGGGGTGGAGAAGTGGGTGGGACCTGGCTAGGACATGAGTAAGACCTGCTTCCTGTGGTCCAGGAGCTCCCCGCCTTGCTGGGGAGACAAATGCATACTCTGCTAATTGAGGTACATAATTCCAGTGACACACATTTTAATAGATATGTGTACAGCCTTATTTGAGTCAGGTTGTGAAGGGCCTTGAATGCTATGCTAAGTAGATTGGATTTTATCCTATGTTAATTGATGGCCATGAATGGTTTTAAAGCCAGGGTACCACATAAATAGAGTCACTGCAATTCCTAATGTTTGTCACCACACATCATCAGCTTTGTATGGAGTAAGAGATCAACGGCTTTGACAGCTTTAAAAAGTTGAACCCCTATAAATTAGTCTCATAGCATATTTCTCTTTTAAATATACTTATGCTCAGGAAAGGAAGAGTTAACTGTGATGAAGTCTCCTGGGAAGCCGAAGACACAGATCTGACAAGGGCTGTGTAGAAGATGTGCATGGAGCACATTCACAGCTCAGGGGGTAGTACAAGCCCTAGCTTGAAGGCCTCCAGGAGGAAGTGGGCAAGAGGAAGTGGGCTGCTGAAAAGAAGAGGGAAGTGAGCGAGGAAGCTAGAAAACGTATGTGGAAGTGGGCAGTAAGGCCAGGGCAGACAGCTTTGTGTGCCAGGCTGAATCTCCCCTCTGAGGATGATGACTAACCATCAATCACCAGTCAATGATGATGATGAGAGAGTCCTTACTACGACGTATCAGGGACTATTCTACTATTCTCTACTAATATTGACTCTTTGATACTGACAATAGCCATGTTAGAGGCTTAAATCATGTTGGTGGCCACCTGAGGGATGGTGGCTTAGAAGACCAGTCTGGATACAGGTTATTATGGCTCAGGAAAAAAGAGAAAGGAGGGATGAAAAGGAAGTGATGGTATAGCGAATGAATTAATTCGTGTGTTTTTAATTATTTTACACTTGTGGTTTGTGTTACGGCCCCGGATATCTTGGCAAACGTTTTATTTGCACTAGTAGACAATGCCTCTTCCGCTGTTGTTGGGCGGAGGTTCTATAAATGTCATCAGGTTAAGTTGGTTCGCAGTGCTGTTCTTTGGCAAATTTGACAATTTTCCAGCTACTTCATTGTGGATTTTTCTATTTCTTCTTTCGGTTCTACATCCTCCTGACAGCGCAGTAAAATATTGTGACACAGATGGTAGAACGTTTGCTTGGAGTCGGAAGAAACGTTTTCTCTCTTTAAATTTACTACAGAATGCCGAAACAAAACGGAAATCCCTACGTAACCCCACAGGCCTAGTGAAGCTCAGCACAAATGCAAAGAAGGGAATCGGGACATTCGGCTACGCCCCTTTCCTGGGTTGGCAAGGCAACTGATACCCAAGCCAGCCAATCGGTGAGAGGCTCACCTGTGGGGGCGGGGACGCAACAAGAGCCAATGGGACGCGGGCCAGATGGTTCTATGGACCAATGGGTTGGGCGACGGGGCGGGCTCTTGATGAAGGCACGGCGGTGAGAAAGATGGCGGCGGCTCTGAGACCCTCTGAGTGGTGGCAGCGGTGGCGGCGGCGCTTGTCGGCTTGGGATGGGTCCAGGATGTTGCTTCTTCTCCTCTTATTGGGGTCTGGGCAGGGGCCACGGCGAGTCTGGGCGGGTCAAACGTTCGAGTACTTGAAACGGGAGCACTCGCTGTCGAAGCCCTACCAGGGTGAGGCGCCCGGGGCGAGGTGGTCTTGCAGGGGGAGGGCTTCGGGACCTGAGCTCGTCCGTGGTGAGGGGGCCGGAAAAGGGCTTCGTGGTCCGCAGGAAACTGCCGGCGGCGCTTGGGAGCCCACGAGGACTCCCGCCACGTTTGAGAGCCACAGGTCCGAAGGACAGGGGTCCCCCGCACCTTTCCCGAGCGCTGGAAGTTTCTAGTAGGTCTGGGATGCCACCAGCCCGAGGCCTGGACGAAGGGGAGCTCGGAGTTGGACAAAAGGAGTGGGATGGAAAAAGGACGGAGAATAGTGAGGAGTGATTGAGCACCATTAGCAGTGAGCCAGTATCAGGACGGAGCTGTGGATGTGTTAGAAATAAAGCATGAGAAAGAACTGGGGCAGAGCTTGGCCAGAGTGAGAAAGAAGATTAATTTTTGTTGCTGATTAAAACACCTGCTTTTTTCAAGGGCAGGAGCCCTAATGTTGAAAGAGGCTGGTTAGTTTTGCTCAGTTTAGGGTTCATAGACCCCTAAGCATAGCTTATCCACCAGAAGATTGGTACAGTTAACAATAAAGAGGACAAATCAGTGGCTTGTGCCTGTAGGCACAGCTACTCCAAAGACTGGCAGAAGGACCCTTTGACATGAATTCCAGACCAGCCTGGATGAGCAACATAGTGAGACCACAAAGAAAAAAGAAGGAAACAAAGAAAAACAGCAACAGCAAAAACTTTATTAGGGCATTAGTGACAGAAGGTGGAAGATGGAATGAGATGAAATAGAAAAAAGAAATAAGCTCCAGTTTTTGTGTGACTTTTTATATTGTTGAGGAGTGTGAGCTGATCTACTTCCTTTCCCTAGGTGTGGGCACAGGCAGCTCTTCACTGTGGAATCTGATGGGCAATGCCATGGTAATGACCCAGTATATCCGCCTTACTCCTGATATGCAAAGTAAACAGGGTGCCTTGTGGAACCGGGTGGTAAGAATCTCTCCCTCTTGTTTTGGTGACCCAGAATGTTTTGAGAAGTTCAGCAATGGCATATTGAGTTAATTTTACTGTCTATTCCCAGTATTCTGTCATCAGTAGATGTCAAGGATCATTATTTCAGAGATTATGGTGACCTTCATAATAAAGAAATCAACTACTTAGGGACATGCTCTCTTTTGTCCTTATTATAGCAAATAAGTCATTTTGAATCTGTTTTTAGGAATGTCTTTTATTCCTGATTGACTCAATAGTACCACTTTTTGGAGTTTAATGACTCTTATATCCTATTAAATTTGTAAAGTAGAAGAATGCTTTTTTCCCCCCCTTCCCATACCAGGGATTAAATCCAGGGACACTGGCACTTAACCACTGAGCTACATTTCCAACTCTTTTTATTTTTTGAGACAAGGTCTTGTTACATTGCTCAGGGCCTCGCTAAGTTGTTGAGGCTGGCTTTGAACTTGATTCCCCTGCCTCAGCCTCCTGAGTCACTGGGATTTCAGGCATATGCCACTGGCCCCAGTGAAGGGAGTGCCTTTTAAAAATTTATCCCAGAGCTGGGCTTGGTGGAGCTCACTTGTAGTTTTAGCTACTTTGGAGAATGAGGCAGGAGGAACCCTCGAGCTGGGGATGTAGCTCAGTGGTAGAGTGCTTGCCTAGCATGTGCAAGGTTCCACCCCTTGCATGCATGCATGCATAAATAAATAAATCCAAACTTTACCCCAGTAGCTTTCCCTTGTTATTTCAGTTTGAAGAGTCTAATTTAAAATTTTATTTTCATATGAAAGTCACTGAGAGCTGTTGGTCATTTTATCTGTCCCTCTCTGGACTTTTTCTAGCTACATTGTCTTCCTTGAGGTATGGTGGCAAGAAGTGAATGCAGTATTCCTGGTGTGGCTGCACTGTGATTTTGTACAAGTGTAAGATGATGCTTTCTTTTTGGTTTCCAGGCCTCTCTCTAAATCCTTTTAAACTATATGACTTTTGGGGATGACTTTGGCATCCTTTGGTATGTTCTCTTGGGCTCCCATAAATGAAGAAAAAAAAATCTTACTTCTGCATGGCTTTTCTCATTAGTTATAGATGAGTGAACCTCAGAAAAGAGAACTGTTTCTTTTCCCTATTCATTTTCTGGAGCAGAGACTTCTAAAGGAGCAGAGGGGGTAAGAAGTTTCTCAGTGAGTTATCTGTGCTAGTTGGCCCCATAACCCAGATTTTAGTGTTGAGCTCATTTTTGAACAGAGTCTAGAGCATGGTAAAAGATTTAAAGGGCAATTGAAGTACTTGAATTATGAATCCAGCTGTGTCACTGACCCATAATGAGCCCTCCACAGTTATTTAACCTCTCTGTTTTTAGTTTCTTCATCTGTCAAATGAACTTAATAATAATCTGTTATACTTGCCCACCAGAGTTGTTGTGAGAATAAAATAAGACAAAAGATGGGAAAAGCCTTTTTTGAAAGCTAGAATGGTTACAGAAATATGTGTTGTTATTACATCTGTTAAAAATTTCATTTTGGGGGCTCTTATAGGTAAATAATTGAATTATGTTCAAGGCTTGTACTTTGCTGCAGTCTTCTTGTCTTTCTACACATCATAATTCATTTAACAGCAATTGTATTCTAGGATCTAGTTCTCCTATCCTTTTTTAGATTTTTTAAAAAAATATTTATTTTTTAGTTGTAGGTGGACACAATACCTTTATTTTATTTTTATGTTGTGTTGAGGATCAAACCTAGTGCCTCACACATGCGAGGCAAGTGCTCTTCCTTTGAGACACAACCCCAGCCCCCCTTTTTCAGATTGTTTGATGCCTATTTTTTACTACTTGTCCATCAGAATGAGCAGTGGAGTTATTTCTAAGTTATTTGAATAATGGATCTCAAAAGTGACTGTCTTTTGGATTCAGTGCCTGGGTTCCACCCTGAGATGTAATTGGAAAAGGGTGCAGCTTGGCCATGGAGATTTTAAATAGCTCCCCTAGGAGAATCCACCAAGCAGCAGAGTTTCAGAACCACTGTTAGACATAACCCAGAACAGTATGGCACTGTGCCACAAGAGGCCAAGCATCAGTGACAGGTATCTTTTGGCTCATTATGAACTTCTCTGGCCCTCTTCTTAGGGACATAATATCTACCTACTAATAAATCTGTGGATAGATATCTGTCACTGAATTTCACCCTTGCCCTAAAATCTAAATAAAGCAGCAGAGAGATAAGAGCTCAAAGTGACAAGACATGGACTGGGCTCTTCAGAACAGGGTAAGCTATTGGGGATTTCAGGGATCTTTGCTGAAAGCAAAAGTATTCAGTCTCTTTTCATTTTGACTTTGTTCCCCTAATACTAATGCTTTTGGAAAATATCCCAAAAATTAAAAACAAAAGCTGAAAATGGTCAAGCAATGTGTTGCTCAAGAGCCAGAACAGTCTGTTTGGAAAGCCTTTGGCTGAACCCAACTGGTCTGCTTTTTTCTCCCCTTCTTCCTTCACAGTGGACTCTAACCAGGAGCTTCTCTAAGCCCACATATTGTACCCACTCTGTTTTTTCCTTGAAACTGTTCAACTCTTTAGAGCACTTAACCATCTGCTTGCCTCTTCTACTTTTAAAGGTTTTGAGACACTATGCAGAAAGAGAACAGAAGTCTGATTAGCACCTATGTCCTTAACGTGTCATCACTAGAGAGGCTGTCCCAGTGGTGGGAGTGGTATTCCCCTCTGGTACCTTTATGCTTCCTGGTCACACCATGAAGGTTTGGGGACTATAGCTCACCCTTCTTGTGGGAACTCAGGCTTGCCCCTCGGCTTGGCAGAGGGCCAAATCTAGCTAATTAGAGTTGTTTATAGCATCTGCTAATTATTCCTGGAAACCTTTGCAAAATGACTTAGCTTTTCTTATTCCTTTATAGTGAATAAGGCTTTGACCATTCTTGTAATCTCAGTTTTTTAGAGTCTTTTTTCAGAGGAATGATCTCAAAATGCAAATGAATATTAATTTAGTCATCTGCTGAAGAGGCTGAGAGACTGCTGCGTAGATGTAGGATCATAGTAGTCTAACTTGTCTTTTCCAACTGTGGAGTCCTATCCAGTTTCTGTTGGGAGATGCTGAATATGATTAGGTGGTTTGTTCACTCTTCATATTAAATATCTTAAACAGTCGCATAACTTGATGCTTTAATTTTATGATGCACACACATCAAAAGCCTTAGATTTCAATTTTAACACTTAGCCTTATTACCTACATTTATGTTTTCCAAGTCTGTAGACTGCTGCTGAGGACTTGAGGGTTTTCGTATTTCGTACTTCTTATTGATTCCAGCATCTTTTTTTTCCCCCCCCCACTTTAGCCATGTTTCCTGAGAGACTGGGAATTGCAGGTGCACTTTAAGATTCATGGACAAGGCAAGAAGAATCTGCATGGGGATGGCTTGGCAATCTGGTACACAAAGGATCGAATGCAGCCAGGTATTGGGGACCCTGAGTTGCTCTTGTGTGTGTGTGACAGGCCTGCTTTTTCATGTGCCCTCTTCTTGAGAAGGCTTCACCCTACAGTTTTCCCTCTCCCCTTATGTCTGTGGATGCACACTGGCCTGTGTAGTGTCCAGAATGGGGTGGTTCTTTATTAGCCCTTATTAGCTGCGTAATAGCAGCTGACCTTGACTCATCCTGGGGGTGATTTCTTGCTTGCTAGTTCCTTCTGAGTTTCCCGGTGAAGCCTGGCCCATCAGCTGAATGGAAGCACTGGCTCTCCTAAGCATTGATGACTGGTGAGCTGATTTCTTCTGGCATATTCAGTGAGTGCTCTCAGCACTTCTAAGTCCAGAGAAGAGTTTTCTGTTTTTCCTTGCAGTGTGGAGCCATTGCTTTAAGTAGATGGCAGGCTCAACCTGATTTGACCTGATCTCTTTTGTAATAAGAAGTAGAACTTGGGAATTCATTTCTCTCTTGAGAGCATAATCTTCACCAAGTGTTTGTGAAGCAGAATTCTGTAGGGGCACCTGAACAACCAGTTTGGATCAGGGAGCTGCCATAGTGCTAAACAAGGTTGTAGTGGCCTTTTCTCTTTCCCTTTCTTCAATAGCAAACAACTAGATATTTACTGGGCCCTTGGTACAGGCCATGCAGTTTGCTTGGTGCTTGCACGTGTGTTTTCTCATCTTGAGAGGCCTGGGAGTCATTTGAATTTCACTTTTCCTTCATCATTGTGAGATATTATTCCTTTATCAACTCTTGGCTTTATTTCATTGTTCATCATCTGTTCTCTCTCTCTAGGGCCTGTGTTTGGAAACATGGACAAATTTGTGGGGCTGGGAGTATTTGTAGACACCTACCCCAATGAGGAGAAGCAGCAAGAGGTAATGGCAAGTGTCAGAGCCTAGGGCAGCTGCACTGACATCACAGTTCTTTCCCTCATGAGTGTTGTGCAGGAGGGAACTGAGGGAAGAGACAGTGAGGGGTTCTTCATCTGTTGAACTTCAAAAGTTAATGTCCTTGTCAGTATTTTTTCTAGAGAGAACTATGATTGCACAGTCCTCTGGGAATAGCTGTCATGAATGGGCACTTTTTCTGTGGTGTTAACAACGTTCTGTCTTATGCACATTAGGTAGCCACTGAAATTGAGCACACTTTGGCTGCTAGTCCAGCACCAGAGCAGCTGAATTTGTGTAACTCTGCTCCCCTAACTTTTACTCCCATCCCTGCTGTGCTCTCTTCTGCAGCTTGCTCACCCTTTCCAGCATCTTTTTCTTCTTCCTCTTTTCAGACTTGAGCAGCAGTTCTTACCTATCAGAGAGATTATAAGTAAAAGGAAATTGATATAATCCTGGCATTTTGATGGAACCCAGTACTGGCCATTGGCAGAGCTGCTTGCTTTTTATGAATTGACCCTAAGCATTCTTTGATACTTCCATATACTGACAGCAGGCTTGTACTTTCTCTGTCATGTGATGCTGCTATCAGATGGTGGACAAATTATTATGGCAAGTTGTCACTGGATATCCTGTAGGTAAATAATGCTTAACAAGAGAGGATTAGGGGGGCTGGAGTTGTTGGCTCAGCGGTAGAGCGCTCCCCTAGTGTGCATGAGGCACTGGGTTTGATCCTCAACACCACATAAAAAAAAATAAATAAAAATAAAAGCATTGTGTCTATCACAACTAAAAAAATTTAAAAAAGAAGAGACACTTGTTTAAACCCATTCTTCCCTGATGAAATATTTACTAAATAAATATATATATATTTAAAAAAAAAAGGATTAGGAATGGAAGAAGAGGTGACTTTTTTGTGGCAAAGGTTTATTATGAAAAATATTAAACGTGTAGAATGATCATCATATGCAACACCCAGATTCAGTAATTACATTTCCCACAGTGCTCACCTTAGAGGGGATGGAATGAAGTGAGACCTCAGTTAGGAGAAGAACCTTTTGTTGTGGGTCAGTTGAGAGTTCCTTCTTCATGCTCCTTCTGGGCTTCTCTTTGTTCCACATGTATCACTTTCTAGGTGGCAGACCCTGGGAATTAGTGAGTAAGACCAACATGGTCCCTGCACTTTAGCATGGCGGGTGGTATGGGGAATCTTGGGCACCATGGGACCCAGGAGGAACTCTAACCTTGAGTGGAGTGGTGGCGGCCATGGAGGGCTTCCTCCAGGAAGTAATGTTTACATTGGAGTCTGCAGGATAAGGAGGGAAAGTGTCCCTTAAGGGGCTAAGGTTGCAGAGGGGAAGAGGAGTGTGAGGAGGTAAAGGAGCATCTGATAGGGATGAGGCTAGAAAGAACAGCAGGGTCAGCAGTCTTGCCGAGTTGCACGATTCCAGGACAGCTGTCCATGTTACTTCCTTTAGTGTTCATACACTGGCTATTTATGTTACAGCAGCTTCATCATGTCCTGCAGGAGGCCTGCTTCTGAGTGGAGGTCTGGACATGATTGTAAAGGGGCACATGCACTAAGGGACACTGATGAGGGGAGAGTTAGGACTAGATTTGTAATCTTGCTGTCAGCAGAGTCTTAGTGGTAGTTAGAAGCCCATAGTAGGAGCTTCAGGGCTTGATGGGAATTTTAAACCTGGTTTTTCCTGTCTCTGTTGTCTTTGTAGTACTGAGGATTGAAGTCATGATGGTCTACCAATGAGCTACATCTCTAGCCCTTTTTATTTTATTTGGAGACAGGGTCTTATTAAATGGCCTAGGCTGCCCTTGAATTTGTGCTCCTCCTGCCTCAGCCTCCCATAAAAAAAATTAAAAGGGCTAGGGATGTAGTTTAGTGGTAGAGCATCCCAGGTTCAATCTCCAGTACTAGGAAAAAAAAAAAATTCAAAAAGCAATTTTAAGCTGGGCGCGGTGCTGCACACCTGTAATCCCAGTGGCTTGGGAGGATGAGGCAGGAGTATCATGAGTTCAAAGCCAGCCTTAGTGAGGCACTAAGCAACTCAGTGAGACCCTGTCTCTACATAAAATACAAAATTGGGCTGGGGATGTGGCTCAGTGGTCAAGTACCCCTGAGTTCAATCCCCAGTAGCCCCCCCACCACACACACACACACACACACAAAGTAGTTTTATTTCTATACATCTGTATGCTTGGAATGGACAATCCAATAATGAAAGTAAAACAATTCTGCCTACACTATTATCAAAAAGAAGTGTTTTAACAGAAAAAATTTGACAATTACAGAACACTTTTCAAAAAAAATTACAGAGGATCTGCTGGGCATGGTGGTGCATGCCAGTAAACCCAGTAGCTCAGGAGGCTATGAGGCCAGTCTGGGCAGCTTAGTAAGACCCTTAGCAAGAAAAGAAAGAAAAAGAAAAACATGGCTGAGGCTATAGCTCAGAGGTAGAACACCCTGGGTTAAATCCCTGGCCAAAAACAAAAAGGAAAAGAAGAAGAAGAAAAGAAAGAAAAATTAAGGAAGACCTGAGTAACCAGAAAGACATGCCATGGCATGGATTGGAAGATTTGGAATTGTTAAAATGGTGATGCTACTCACATAGATTGGTAGGGTTTGTTTTGTTTTGTTTTTTAAATATTATTTCTTAGTTGTAGGTAGACACACAATATCTTCATTTCATTTTTTTTTTTTTTTTTTTTTTACTGTGGTGCTGGGGATTGAACCCAGTACCTCACACGTGCTAGGCAAGTATTCCACCACTGAGCCACAACCCAGCCCTGATTGGTATTTTTAATTCCTGTTGATCAAAAATTTAGCTGGCTCCTTTGTAGAAATTAACAAACTGATCCTATAATCCATAAGGAAGTTCAAGGGACCCAGAATAACTGAAATAATATTGAATAAGAATGAAGTTGGAGGCCAGTCATGGTGACACATGCCTGTAATCCCTGCTACTTGGGGGCTAAGGCAGGAGGATCAGAAGTTCATGGCCAGTGTGTGCAATTTAGCAACTCTGTCTCAAGATAAAATAGAAAGGGCCAGGCATGGTGGTGTATACCTGCAGTCACAGCAATTTGGGAACTTGAGTCAGGAGGATTGCAAGTTCAAGTCAGCCTCAGCAACTTGTCGAGGCTCTAAGCAATTTAGTGAGACTGTCTCAAAGTTAAAAGAGAGCTGGGGTTGTAGTTCAGTGGTAGAGTACTTGTCTCGCATTGTGTGAGGCATTGGGTTGGATTCTCAACAACACATATAAACATACAAATAAATAAAATATAAATAAATAAATAACATAACTAAAAAAATGTTTAAAAAAAAAGATCTGGGGCTGTAGCTCAGTGACAACATGCCCCTGGGTTCAGTCCCCAGTACCAAATAAAAGAAAGGTTGGGCATGTAGCTCAGTGGTAGAACACTTACCTAGCATAACTGAGCCCTTGTGTTCAAGCTCCAGTGTTGTTAAAAAAAAAAATGAAAATAGAAATGTATTGATGGGCTGGGTGCGGTGGTGCATGCCTGTAATCCCAGTGACTCGGGAGGCTGAGGAAGGAGGATCATGAGTTCAAACCCAGCCTCAACAACTTAGTGAGGCTTTAAGCAACTTGGTGAGACCCTGTCTCTAATAAAATATATAAAGTGGGCTGGGGATGTGGTTGGTGATTAAGTGTACCTGGGTTCAATCCCTGGTACCAAAAAAAAAAGAAAATTATCATGGACCTAATTTAAAAATTAAAACTATAACCAGGTATGGTGGTACATGCTTGAAATCCCAGCAACTCAGGAGACTAAGGCAGGAGGGTTGCAAGTTCAAGCCCAGCCTTAGCTACTTAGCAATTTAATGAGGCCCTGTCTTTAAGTTGAAAGGGGCTGGGGATGTGGCTCAGTGGTTAAGCACCCTAGAGTCTAATCCCCAGTAAACACAAGCCCTCCAAAAAAGATTAAAACTTTAAAACTCATTTTTCATGACCTTGATTAGGTGATGGTTTCTTAGATATAACAAAAAAAAAGAGAGAGAGAGAGAGAAATACATTGACTTTATCAAAACTAAAAAACTCGCGGGGCTGGGGTTGTGGCTCA